ATAATATGAACAGGATGAATTTGTCTCTTGTGAAATTGTTGAATGATCTGAAGCACTATGGTTCTGTATTAGTCTCTTCAGGGATTTTATCATATGATTCTCCCAAGAGCGTAAAGTATCTCCAGCTTATTTAACAATTTCACAAGCGAAACTGTTGAAAACTGTCCGGCAGAGTCTGTAGGATCATCTTTTGTCGACCTGAGATTTCTTATCAATAGCAACGCCAAGTATCTCCAGCTCATTTTATAACTCATCATGTTCAACACATGATCCTTCAACCATTTTGGTGGTCAAGAGAGCCTTCATGGCAGTCTGCTTGGCAGCACGATTCTACTCTCCAAACATCTCTTTGAGAGATTCGAGCATATCGTAAACAGATGTCATAGACTGATTCTGATGTTGCAAGACATTCGTTATTGATGCAAGAATGTAGCACCTTGTCATCCCATCAGCCTTGACCCATTTATCAGAGGCCTTGATCTCCTCACCAGTAGCATCCGATGGTTTAATGAGGCATTCTTCAATCAACACATATTTGAATCCCTCAGATGTTAGAAAAATATCAAGGTTTCGTTCTCAATCCACATAGTTAGGACGTTCCAGTTTCTTTTGGTTCACAAATGACTGAAGTGAGACATAGTTAATTTGAGAGATATTTATCAAACTCAGTGGATGAAAAGGATCCATTGGTGGATTTCCACATACCTTGGGTAATCAAAGCCCTAGTAATGACAAGAGAACCTTGAAGCTTGATGAAACTCTAATCCTTAACTTGAGAGCTCTTGAGAGAAAATTGAAGAAGACTTTGAATTTGGGGAATTTTGAGTGAATGACAGAAAATAGGCCAAGTCCTTAAGGTAAAAATGGTTATAGGGTAGTAGACAAAGACACTTATTCAACTTTGTACAAGTTTATGGATAACTTGTGCATATTCAATATTAGAGTACGTAGAGTCGTAGATGTCATCTGAGATTAAGTTAAAAAATATATTTATGTATTATCTCAATAGTAAAAGTCATATTCCACATAAACAAATTTTAGAAAGAAAAAGGGAAAAAGTTATATCATATGTATACACTAGTTTCTGGTGTGTACCCCATGTTATTGTATAAATATTTTAAAATAATACAAATTCATTATAGTAGATTTGAAGGGGTAAATGAAGTTTAAACCGATGAATGGTAAGCTTAGTCGGCCAACTTAACTGTTGAGCATAACATAATAACATATATTTGAACAATTAAATTTAGTGGTAAAACGAAAATGATAATTCAATTTTACTGTTTGATTGATTATTTTATATTTCAATGCAATGACATATAGTTTATATGTGAATGAATATAAGTGACGTAGGCTTGCCAGAAATACTTTACATCTAGTAAGTTTTTACCATGTATCTTTAAGAAAATGTAGCCTCTCTTTTTTTTTTTTTTTTTGTAAATGATCAATTTTATGTATACAAGCAAAGGTGGAAGCAGTTCTCAGCTTGCATACAAACTTTTGATTAAAATTTTTAGACTGTCGGTAAAGGAAGATCCAATAGATAATGTAGAGTGATTATAGCATAAGAAAAATAATCAAACCACCCTAATATTATTATACAAAAATTTATTTATAATCCTCATATATAGATTAAAACAATAAAAAATCTTTTGTATTGTTATATAAGTTGATGACTTGAACTGAAACTCTTGAAGAGTTTTCAAAAGACAATAGATTATTTGCTTAAAGAAGTTGAAGTAAGGAACTTGCAGAATTCTTTGATCCTAAAGGTATGATTCATAAAAGGAGATGGAAGGAAGCATATTTCGTCAAAGCTTTTCTACACACATGAGCTCCCAAGAATGATGATATCAACATGCAACAGGTTTGTTCAAGTAATATATAGTTGATTTATTCAGCAAGTCTCCACCAACTACAACTTTCAAGAAGATGGTGCACAAACTTGAAAAACAAAGATTCAAGTTTCTGGATTGATGTTCTTATTAGGGGAAGTTAATACGTGATGTACTCTTTTTCCCTCACAAGGTTTTGTTCCATTGGGTTTTCCTTGTAAGGTTTTTAATGAGGGATCCATAATGCGTATTATTAGATATGTGTACTCTTTTTTCTTCACTAGATTTTTTCTCATTGAGTTTTATCTAGTAAGATTTTAACGAGGCACATAATCTACCGACATTCAAGGGGGAGTGTTATAAACATATTTGTATTATAGTGAATGTCTATTATGTGGAGTCCTTCTAGGGAATGGTTAGGAATCCTACTTGGGGACCAAGTTAGGTTTCCCCTATAAATAAAGGAGTTTTCCTTCGTTGTAAATCAAATATGTGAATCCTGAATATACTTCAAGAGGAATAAGAAGTATTTTCTCCTCTCCCTACTTTATTCTTCTTCTTGTTTTATATAGTTTCATAACAAAAAGAGATAAGTGTCAAAAACACACTTAAACTTTAAAAAAATGGCCACATCATACTCCACATGGACAAAACATTCCATCTTGACAAAAATTAAATATTAGTTAAGATTAAAGATTAAAAAATTATTATCCCAAAAAAATAATTATTTTTTAAAAAATAAAATGTAAACTATTTTGCTTTCCCCACTCAATCACTTTCTCTCACCGCATTTTTTAGTTTTTTTTAGTTTAAAATTCTTTTAAAAAAGTGTATAATTATTTTACTTCATCCCCCCCCTCCCCCCCACATCCCCTTCAAATAATTTAGATATTTTTTTATTTTAAAAGAAAAAATTCTACCCACTCCACCTAACTCTCCGCTTCCAATTTTTTTCTCGTTTTGTATTAGATATATACATATCGAAAATATATTTTACTTGCCGCCGCAAGAATTTTTTTAAAATAATTTTTTTATTTATGTTATATTCGATACACGAAAAAAAATTCCTAAAAATATATGTACATATCTAACACAAAACGAGAAAAATGTAAAACTAAATTAGGAGCGGAGGATTAAATAGGATGGGGTGGAATTTTTATTTTTTTAAAAATAAAATAATATCATTTTTTTTTGGGAATGGGTGGATGGTTTGGTTTTTTTTTTTTTTGAGGGGGGGAGGGGGGGCCGAGGGTGAAGTATGAATTTTTAAAAATATATTATAAAAGAAATTTTTTTTAAAAAGACGGGGATTATGAAAGGGGGGAGGGGGTGGAGTGGGGTAAGAAAAATAAATTTTATTTTATTTCTTAAAAATTATTTTTTTGGGATAGTAATACTTTAATCTTTAATTTTTTTTAATTAATATTAATAGTTTACTATTTAATTTTTGTTAAGGTAGAATATTTTATCCATGTGGAATGTCATGTGTCAAAGTATTTTCAAACAAAAGAGAGAGTGCATTACACACACCATTGAGGTGTATTTCTCAAACTAATAAGTGATAGTTTAAGTATGAAACTCACACTCTCAATAATTTAGATATGAAACTCACAAAAATAGATAGTTTAGTTTTTGACACTTATCTCTCTATAAAAAAATAGATAAGTTCTTTAGCTCCATAAGTGAAAAACTAAATCAAAAATAAATAAAGAAAACTGAAAAAAGAAAAAAGGGGAAAATATATTTTTTTTAAAATAGAAGAAGGAAACGACAAAAAAAAAATAGAAAAGGAAGGATAAATGGGACAAAACGACAAATAAGAGATTAAAAAAAAGAGGAAGAATGGACAGGAAAAAGGAAAAAAAAAGAATAAAAACAAACTGGAAAGCAAGTTTTTTTAGTTTTCTTTTATTTATCAAAACAAAAATTATGATATAATATTAAGCTCTTTTTAATTTATTTATAGAATAATTTTATTTTTTAAAAATTGTTATATAAAATAAAGATTATTTTAGTAAAACTTTTTTTTTTATGGAGACAAATATCACATCATCCATCAGCCAGCCTGGTTCAAATCTCCTACATGGTGGAACCCTCTGTATTCATTTCAATTATCAAAAGCTTATGAAAGGCAAAGAAGTACAAAACACTCGTGAAGTAGAAATAATTGGGGACTAAGACTATTTCCCACCGTGATCAACGTAACACTCTTATTTTCAAAATTATCACTTCCACTTAATTATGAAATGTTATCATCTTTTATGGATAGTGGTGTATAAAAGATAAAACTCACATTTATATACCATAGTTTTTGCAGGGGCGGCTCAACGTAATCGGAGGCCTAAAGCGAAATTTTAATTAGAGGCCTAAACTCTAAATAAACTTCACGTGCATTTATTTAAAAATTTATTTTTCTTACATTTTTAAATGCAAAGTATTACCTAATATTTTTTTTATATATATAAATGATTTATTCGATTTCTTTTTCAATTATTAGTTTTAAATAAGATTTTTGTTAATTCAACGTTGAAAAATATTATTTTACTCGGGCAATCATTATATGAATTGTTAACATAGTTCTACAAGTAATAAGTTGACAAATTTCAAATAAATATAAGAGTTAGAACCATAGCTTTGATGAAGTTGATAATTTGGTTACCCTACATTTTACTATGATTGTTGTAATGCTTGAAAATCTAAGAAGAAATGGAAAAAGAATTTACAATTCAATTTGTTCAATACTTTTTGACTAATAATTGATATTTTTGACAGAATATTACTCTCTAACTTATCAACAATTTAAAGAAGAGAGTGTAAAAGGAGTTAAAAAGAAAATAATGTGAGTATTAGTAGAGAGAGTGTAAGAAAATAAAACAATATTTTCTTGATTTTTTTCTATTTGAATTGGGTTGAAGAGAATATAATAATAATTTTAAATATATACTTTTTATCATAAATAATTAATGTTTTTCTTTAAAAAATTAACACATAATTTATTCTTGATAAAAAATTAAAGCCACCTAAAATTGGGAGCCTAAGGCCAATGCCTTATTTTTGTATACCCGGCCTTGGGTTTTTGATATGTGAAAATGACATACTTCACAAAATATCTTCTTGTTCTTGTTCTTCTCATCTTTCTCTTGCATATTTTAGCACAAACTATACCATTAGGCAGCTCTCTCATAGCAAATGATGAAACAACACCATGGCTTTCTCAATCTGGAGATTTTGCATTTGGATTCAAGAAAATTCAAAGTCAAAATCAGTTCTTGCTTTGCATATACTATGCCAAGATTAAAGATGCCACCATAGTTTGGTATGCAAATGGTGGTAACCTCGTGCCACGAGGCTCTATCGCGGAGTTAAATCCTCAAAAGGGACTAATTCTCCGCGATCCTAAAGGGAAAATGATCATTTGGAGCACTGGTCGGATTGGTTCTAATGTTGCTTATGCTGTCATGAATGATACTGGAAACTTTGTTCTTGTTGGGGTTGATTCTTCAGTTTTATGGGAAAGTTTTCGATATCCGACTGATACCCTTATGCCTACTCAAATACTAGAGATTAACAACAAGCTTGTTGCTCGAAAATCGGAGTCTTTCTTTGTTCCTGGTAGATTTTATCTTCGTATGTTGAGTGATGGGAATTTGGTTCTTGTTACTCAATCCAAGCCAACGAATTTCGATTATGATGCTGAGTATTACAACAGTCATACTTCTGATTCAGGAGATGAAGCCAATTCTGGTTATCGATTGGTATTCGATGAGTTTGGTTCAGTTTACATTTTAAAAAGGAACAATCAAAGACTTGTGTTGACACCTCCCAAGGTTCCTTCAATTTCAGAAAATTATCACAGGCTAAGTCTTGATTTTGATGGTGTTTTAACTCATTATTATCATCCTAAGAGTACGGGGGATCAGAAGTGGAGTACTCTTTGGTCTTTGCCTGATAACATATGTCTAGCAATTCTTGACGATGTTGGAAGTGGAGTTTGTGGATTCAACAATGTATGCAATCTAGGTGAAAATCAAAGACCATATTGTGAGTGTCCAAAAGGGTATTCGTTGATCGATCCAAATAATAAGTATGGAAGCTGCAAACCAAAATTTGTTCCAAGTTGTGATGAATTTGGACAGGGAAATCCTGAAGAATTATATGATTTTGATGTGGTGACAGATGTTGATTGGCCGTTATCAGATTTCGAGAGGATTTATCCTTCTGCTGAAGAAGAATGCAAGAAGGCTTGTTTAGAAGATTGTTTCTGTGCTGTTACCATTTATAGAAGCAATAGTTGTTGGAAGAAGAAACTTACATTGTCAAATGGGAGAGTAGATACCTCTTTGAATGTAAAAGCTTTCCTTAAAATAAGGAAAGTTTGAACATAAGAGCTTCTTAAATTAGATATAATGTATGTCTGCTATAGGTTCATGGTTGAATTCGTCGATCCAACTTGCAATTTTACACAATTCAATAGTTTGGATTTGTAATAATTAATGGACCATATTGTATAACAAACTTTGATTAGCAAATAATGAAATATTTCAGACATTTCAAGAAACATATTGCACTGAGATACAGATACAGGTTATTGATGTACTCTTTAGGTCCAAGCAAATGAATAATTGAAAAAAAAAACATGGTTGATCTAAATAGAATCGACAAACGAAAAAGGGTCAGGAGGAATTGATACTTCAACAGAACCTTCAAGCATTAACATGACTTTCTTCATGTTAGGCCTTGATGCTAGATTTTCTTGAATGCACCAAATTGCAACCAACAAGAACTTCTCGAATCTCTTGATATCTTCTAATGCCTCTTCATCATCGCCTACAAGTAAATGCAACTTATTTCTTCTATAGCAATCATAAGCCCACTCCAGTAGTATCATTTCGTTCTCGTTTGCCACATCCTGCTCATAGTTTTTTCTGCAGCAAATCAACTCCAAGAGCAAGACCCCGAAGCTGTACACATCAACCTTCACAGTTACAGGCATGCTTCTGAACCAGTCTGGGGCTACGTACCCTTTGGTTCCACGTATCCTAGTGGTTGTTTGAGTCTGATGTTTTTTCAGTAGCTTGGCCATACCAAAATCTGCTATTTTTGCTGTCAAATTTTCATCCAAAAGCACATTTTGGGGCTTGATGTCACAATGTATAATTTGGGTACTGCACTCTTCATGCAAATAACAAAGTCCTTTGGCAGTGTCGATGGCAACTTGTACCCTTTTGGACCAACTAAGCCTAGAATCTTTGAATAGCAAGTGTGCTATTGAGCCGGTTTTCATGTGTTCATATACCAACAGGCGGTGTTGGCCTTCGTTGCAGAATCCAAGGAGTTGGACCAAGTTCTTGTGATTAGTCCTGCTGATTGAATTCACTTCAGCTTCAAATACTTCTTCTCCTTCTCCCTCTGTTACCATGTTTCGGAGTTTTTTGACAGCAACAACTTTCCCATTTTCATCATCAAGAACCGCTTTGTAAACTGTTGAGAAAGCTCCAGTTCCTAATTCTTCCTTGAATCCATTTGTAGCTTGTTCTAGCTCTTTGTAGCTAAAACTTCTTAAGTTCACTCCTGGAACAGCTGAATACGGTGCAGTCCTCTTTCGTTTTTTCCCTATAAACTTAAAAATGTACAATAGGGCCAAAAGAATTAAGAACAAATTCATGAAAACTGAACTGGCCAACAACACAGAACCAGAAATGATCAGAGTAGACTGATTTTTCTTTTTTCTTATTTCAACATTTGGTGTTCCCACTGTGGAGTTGTCTTTCCTTATTTTTATCAAAGCCTTCCCTCCGATCGTTGGACCTACTCTCCCATTTGAAAGAGGATACCTTTTCTTCCAACAGATGTTGTCGTCACTGTAAATGGCAACATCACAAAAACAATCATTCAAGCAATTCCGTCTGCACCAATCCTCTGAAACATCGCGGTGAGACTCATAATCAGAGTCAGGCCAGTTAGTATCCAACATTTCGTGGAATGTGAAAGACTCAACTTCTCGCGATTCATGGTTACAGTTTTGCTCAGAGAAATTTTGTCTGCAGCTGCCTAATTTGTCATTCGGATCATCCAAGATATATCCGAGTGGACAATCACATCTCGGCCTCTGATCAGTTCCTATTGAGCATAGGCTGTTGAAACCACAGGCACCCCCTCCTGTACGTTGCCTGATAGACAAACAGATGTTATCAGGAATGTTATACAAACTAGACCATGCCATCGGTTCCCTACCAGAAGATTTCGGATGGACATAGTGCCTAAAAACTCCATCATATTCAAGAATCGCTCGATGATACATTGATTGGCTTCTTGAATTTTCCACATTAGAAGATATCGAATTTATCAAAGTTCCATTCTTTGCTTGAAGAAAAATAAAGCCTGATTGATTGAAGATCACCTGATAACCACTGCCAACTGACATAGGTGACCAATATGCAGCATTTGTTGTCTCAGCTGGATAATTGACTGTGTAAAGCACTAGATTTCCGTCAGTTTGAAGTATGAACTCAAACCTCCCACTCGATACATTCGTGTCAGAGAAACTTGAAACAAGACTGTTATCTTGGTTAAGTACTTGACCAGGCAAAATCGTATCGGTGGGCTCATTAAAACTCTGCCATAGAGTGTCTGAACTACTAGTTGCTAGCACAAAGTTTCCGTTATCAAGCATGGCTCCATAGGCCAATTGATCATTAGCCATGCCACGAGCCCACATCTCTTGACCAGTTGGATCAGTGAGGACTAGTCTTCCATCCGCGGAGAGCTGAACTTTGGATCCATCTAAGGCAAGATTATTCCTATTAGCTGACCAAACTATGGTTTTGTCTGTGATTTTGTTGAACCATATGGCTAGTAAGTACCTTGATTCATTTCCAATTTTTTGGAAGCCCAAAGCGAATTCATCAGATGGGGATGACCAAAAGCTAGTAACATCACTTGTAGTGAGTGATGAACCCAAACTAACATTTTGGTAAGATTGAGCAATGGCTGAAAGGGGAAACAATAAGAGACCAACAAGAAGCATAGCTAAAAAAGTCATGTAAGAAAGAGGCAAAGTTATAAATGGATATTATGTACACCTATAAGTTACAAATATAATGTTGCCTGCAAGGGTAAATAGTCAGGCATATTACATAAACGGTCTTCTAACTTGAACCGTACGTAACTACATAAGCAGACACTTAAACGTGTATAAAATTGAACAAGTTGACACACACATCGCACGTCCTACATGGCAATTCACATCCTATGCAACATCTATGTGACGTCCTATGTGTATAATGACACATAGAATGTGTGTGTCTACTTGTTCAACTTTATACAAATTTATATGTAATTTGTGCACACACAATGTTAGAAGACGTAAATATCAACTGAGATCAAGTTAAATAATATATTTATGTATTATATCAATAGTGAAAGTCATATTCCACATAAACAATTTTTAGAAAGAAATAGGGAAAAAGAAAATTCAACGTTAATTAAATTGTTGCTTGTTGGACCACATTTTAAAAAGTAAATGTTGAATAAGTCCATTGGCTACCCCACTTTTTTGAGTAAAATGTACCTATTGAGTTCTACCGCGTTTTCTTGACTTGGAAATGTTGACGAGTTTCTAAAAATTATTTGAGTTGTACTTTTTAATAAATAAATATTAGTTTTAGTGATATTTTTTATCTATTATTACTTATAATAATATATATAGTAATATCATAATAAATCTGATTGTGTATTAAAAGTGAATTATGCATGCAACTTAAATGTATTGTAAGTATTTTAAAATATATTATACTTATTTGTTAAGAAATTGACACAATGCATCATAAATATATTAAAGTGTGTAATAAATGTATTATCCATTAATAAAACTTGTATTATATATGTTCTATAAATTATTCTCTGTAAAACATATTCAAATTGTATTATAAATATATTATAAGTGTCCAGTCAAAAAAAATGTTATTGCTATAGATGGTAAATATTTTTCTTAAGATAACATATCAATGTAAGTTTTCCTAGTAGTTTATTCTTTGTTTTTTGTTTGTTTGTTTGTTTGTTTTTTGCTTTTATGATCTTGATAGTTTAAATTTACTAGTCCAATTAATTTGAATTTGCAGCAAATAGATTCACCAAGAGGCATAAAATGCTTCGAACCAAGTTCTAGTTTAAACAGTACCAGATCTCTGAGTGATGAACACATTCTAGCCATCCTGTCATATTTAGTGACGACTAGACCTGACAATATGGGCTAGCCCACCCCATCCGCGCTAACTCATACAGGCTTTGAAATTTGACGAGCCAGGTCGGGCTAGCCCATTTTTGTTGTGGGCCAGAAAATGGTCAGCCCAGCCCACATGTATGTGGGCTACAGGCTTGCCGGACCAGTCCTCTTTTCTTAAAAATATATTTTTTATAAATATTTATATTAAATTATAATTTTAAAATATTATCATAAATATTGACAAGATAATATTACATGGTGCTAGTGTATTACTTGTTAATCAAATCCACAAATAAAAGTATCTTTATAATATTTATTAAGTTTGATTTCAAGTAAAAGCATAAATAACTAAATAAAAATATTAACCTAATTTTTTTCCAATGAACATAATAAAATACGAAAACTATGACAATATTCCATAGGCTACAGCCTATGTAGTGATTCCTAGAAATTTTAGGGAATTTTTATTTTATGTAGTACATAATTTATATTTAAATTGTAATATTTCAAACTTTAAACAGATTTTGAGTTTAGACTCTTGTTATTTTTACTACTCTATTTTATTTTTCTTTTTAATTAATTTTTATTTATCCCACGGCCCGGCCTTATCCATATTTCTCAAGCCCCACAAATCAATAGACTTATTCAGGCCAGGCTAAAAAGCTATTTTCTTAAATGGGCTCCAAAAATCGTAGCCCAACCCTATCAAATCACGGGTTAAGCCAGGCCGGCCCAACGGGCCTAGCCCATATTGACGGCTCTAGTGACGACGTAATTAGGAATTTCACTAAAGATATATTCAAACTTTGAATAAGAGTATGATCAATCATAAAAATACTTATATTTGGAATGGACCTAAATACCAAAGCACGAAAAAAATTGGACTGGTTCAGTTTGATTTTGATATTGATTTTTTAAAGTGATATATATATTGTAAATAATAAAAAAATAAACTCAAAGTATTATCATAAACCCACTATTGAATTTTAATTTTTTTAAATTCAAATAAACCAAAATTTTCATAAATAAATTCCATTTTACTTAACTACCGCGTAAATACCACTCGTTAAAGAAAGATAGAAAGTTGACCACTAAGGTACTCAAATCAATTTTCTAAAGTTAATTTGGACCTTTTTGTTTTGATTTCTTTTTATTGAAAAATAAATGTTTCTTTCGTTAAGATTTCTTGCCAGCAGCCCATTCCAGAAGTTA